TTTTTCTACCCCCCCCCTTTTTCTTTTCCAATTTCCGATGCACTTTGTGAAGTCCGTATATATGTAAGAGATATTTAAAATGTTGAGTTAACATTTCGCTCAGACACACGTAAGTTAAGGTCATTTAAAAAGAAATTTAAAAAAATGCGTTTATCTGTATGGAAAAAAATCTCGCCATAATATTTTCATTTTGGTATTATTAAAGGACTCTGAACGACGCTGCCGGGTTTTGTTCTCTGTCTCTGCCTTGCCCAGCCACCCTCCCCGGGTCGGCTCCTTCCCCTCCTCCCCTCGCGGGGACTAAAAGACAAATGCTGAATTGCAGGGATCCAAGTGAATCAAACAGCCTCGCGGGGCACAGTGAAACTGCCCAGCGCTGCGCTTCCTCATTTCCAGCCCCCCGAAATTTCTGCTCTGAGCTCGGTTCCAAAGCAGGGGAAAAAACCCCCCCCCAAAGCCTCGAGCCGGACTTTCAAGCCGTTCAAAGCCTGTTTGGAAAATGCTCCCGAACGGGGAGAAACCAGCCCGCGCCAAGGAGCGATTTATTTTATCATGGGGGGGAAGGGGGGCTCTCCGGAGCACCGCAAGGCTTCCCAGGCTGGGAGGTGATCTCCGGGGGATAAACCGCTCGAGTCAATACTCCGGAAAAGACATTTCATGCCTAAATGAAAATCTTGTTAAATGTTATTAATTTTGACTTAGAGCACATAGCAGCCCCCTGTGCCTTGTATTCCCTTATTAGGGATTCATGTCTTATCAAATATCTAATTAATCTCCTAGACATCATTTGTTCTGGCCAACTTTATCTCAGCTGGTCCGCGGGGAAAACTCCGAATATTCTCGGTGACAAAGCTCCCTTGAAGATCCTTTTAATTGTCTAAATTAACTGCACCGAATTTGCATGTCAAACGGTAAAGGGCAACCTGAGATAAAATGTAAACGTTTTAAAAGCCCCAAACTAAGCACTTGATTTGATAACTAGGCTTTTTAATGTTATGGAAGACAACTGCTCCTTTCCTTTTCAAAGACAGTTGATCTATGCAAATAGTGAATTGGAAATGCTTATGTCCCCATGCAGTCAAATGGTCCTTGCATGTTATTTGAATATCAGTGGCTCTGCTATTGAAAAGGTTCAAGGATGCTCTCTGACTTCTTTGTGATTACTCAGTGCAGCGTCTTATTCTGAAGAAAAAAACCCTCAGGAATAATTAAAGGCTGGGCTAAGGCCTGGGAACACATTTGGGACAGGAATCTCATTTAGACAGGCTCTTTCAAAATAAGGCACAGTTAAATTGACCAGAAGGCAATTATTGAAATGAAAATTATTTTCACTCCCTTTGTCTCCTGACCACCAACTTAAGAGCCACAGTATTTTTTTTTAAAGAAAATTGTTAAATGAGATAATTGCGCCATTAAAAAAAACAACAACACGGCGTGGGGGGATGGGAGGGAGAAGAAAAGTTAATTTAGTCTGTAGGTGCGGAGTGGAGAAATAGAAATCTTAACCCCCACGAATTAGAGAATGCAAACAAACGCCGGCGCGGGGGCTGCGGCGCAAAAAGGCTGGATGCAGCTGCCGCGGGGATGAATGCGGGGCTGAAGTTTCCCCGGGCAGCGTGGGGCGAGCGGTCGTTTGGAGGGGACGGAACCGAGCGGCGGAGCAACCCCGTTACCTTGCAGCCCAGGAGCCGGCCCGGAGCTTTCCCGGTCATCCGAGAGCACCGCTCCATTCTCTCCTTCCCCCTTTTTAACCGGGTCAGAGGGAGGCCGATCTCCCCGGAGCAGGTGCTGGGCGCCGGGCGGAGATGGCTCTCCCGGGGCAGGGGAGGAGAGGAGACAATGGAGCCGGCGAGGATGACATGGTCGGGCAGAGGTAACAGGCAGCGCCGGCTGCGGGCTGCCGCCCCGGCAGCGGTGGGTCCCTAAGGAATGCGCGCTCCCCGGGTGCCGGGCAGGAGGCAGCTTTGTTTCCCCTCCATAATAAAACAGATCAAAGGGAAGCAGCCAGGTCCGGTCTCTGGCGGGCCGGGGTTACAGGTCTCAGCTCAGTGATCAAGGACCTCTTTGCATTGCTTTTGCCCCTTCAGGTCAGAAAACGTCCATCACTTCCCGGCTCCCCAGAGCGGAGGCAGGAGCAGCTCCGGTTCGTTTACCCAGGAAAATAGAGGACGCGGAGCCTTCCCGGCCAAACAAGGAGGCTCCTCTCCTCTCCTCGCCTCGCCTCGCCTCTCCGCGGCGCAAGGAGCTTTCTGGACAGAGCGCGAGAGCCGGGCAACCTCGCGGCGCGGGGGCCAGGCCCGAGCGGGGCCCCCACGCGGGAGCGCAGCCCCGGGCTGCAGCCGAGGCGCGGG